GAAGCTCATGACTATGCCTATCGCATTGTATTAATAAAAGCGTATGGGTATTTTACTGAGAATCAACACTAAATACAGAGCTCTTCATGTCAATAGCTAAATATGGTTAAATAGCACAGCTGAGAGGGCTAAGAGAGGGCTGTGAAGAGAACCTGCGGGTATGTTGCGATGGATAAACAGGTAAGCATGGGAGTGGGTATGCGAAACGATCCGTCGCCTGACGATGATGTGGAAACCTCGGCGACCGATGTGAGGAATACGTAAGCGCAAGTGCTCGGCGAGACGGCAATACGACGACTGACTGGCAAGTCGAGTGCAGCCTAGAAAAAGAAGCAGAGTGAATTCCCGAGTATCCGCGGTTGCATCCTGGAAAAGTCGATTGGAGCAAGACATCCCCTTCTTCTTATTCTTTTTAGCGTTTGTCCCGCTTGGTGGCAGGGTCCGCTTTTCTGTGTTGACGCCACTTTTCCCGATTGAATGCCTGATCGGGATGGATACCAGCTAACTTTCAAGTCCATATGCAACGTATCAAGCCAGCGCTGCTTTGGGCGTCCCTTAGGCCGTTTTCCGGGCACGTCGATGTTGAGGCTCATCTTACGCACACTGTCATCGTTTCCACGAAGCACATGACCATACGTACATCGAAAACGAAGCAAGGCATCCTGTCGGCGCATATCATAGACGAAGATTAGGTCGTGGCGAAGCTCAGATCTGGCCCATACAGTCAACATCCTTTGCCTTGTTCCCTCTAGGACTAGATGTCCCTTCCCTGCGACACGGGCGCCCACTTCTTTCTAACTGAAGCCCTCAACCTGCATTGTTTTCTCTGCGACAACGGCTGTGTAGACGAAACTACCTTTTCCAGTCAGGAGTATGCGAAGCAGCTCAAGCAGTTACCGGTGATAAGTCGGCTCGCATGGAATTGCTATCATACGCCATTCTGCAAGGAGTACTCATGGGTTATGTCATCGACAGTATTTACTTGAGTTATATACCATATGCAGTAATTACTCCAGCAATAATTACCGTCGCCTTTGCGGTAGGTTTCCGGAAATACACGCTTATATGTGGTTTCCATAGTCAATTTGAGCATGGACTGTAGCAAATGGGTTCTTGACGTGAATAAATTCTAATGGGAAAGCCCCCATACTGAGACATAATGGCCAGTTGATTCTTACAAGTTACAGATCCCTCCATTTTCACGAATCACGCACATTGAACAATGTGTTTCGGTTCGCAAGCAGTAAACACAACTGAGAAGTTAGGAGCAGAGTGGGACCTAAAGGCAGTGAACACGATGTCTGGGAGTCGGAGAGGTCTTGGTGATTTTGTTGAGCGTCAATGGTGGAGGTGCGGTGGGAGGCGATTTCAGCCATAGCCCTCAGCGTTTTCCACCAATGACAGCCAATGGCGTCATCAGATGCTCCGCCTACCAGTCGTCGTCCTCACTGCCTTTAGAAGGGGTGGGCTTGACATAGGCTCAAACTGGTACAACGGCA